ATTTAAAACAGGACAGCAACTGTTATTCTACCGTTGCTAAAAAGACGTAACATGCAGATTGTTATGGTTACAATAATATTATCTGTAACATTTATTTCAGGATTTTGTAGCCAATTTCTCTTTAGTTTTCAAAGCTTTCACCTGCCAATTCAGATTTTATCCGATTCTCTTTTCATTTTTAGTAAAATAGTATAGGGAATAAAAACACCTTTCAAAATAGTGTTTTGTTGGCTATAGAGCCATTTGCTTATTAAAGACAAATTTGTTCTACAATTTTAGGTGTGTAAGAAGCCAGTGACTGTAAAACAGGGTTTTCCTATTTTACAACGAAGACAAAATGATGAAAAGGGTTGATATGTCAACCTGACTTTTAACTTCTATCAGCAGTCTCTCTGAGTTATCTCCAGAAACTGTAGATCTTTCCTTTACCTAACCCAAATCTAGCATGTTCCATGACAGACCGCAGTTCCAAGCTCAAAAGGATACAATAGAGCAACTTTGCTGTACTTTGTACAGCCTTCTTATTATCTATTGAAAGTCTTGATCTCTCTTGCTTTCTTGCTCACTGAGTTAATCACAGACATGTCATAAAGTACAGTTTCATTTTAAATAGCTTCTTGTATCTCCGTTCTTTATCTGACTTCAGTTTTAACCCCATATTAATACTGATCATACCTAGTTTCCAGTCATCTTCACTCCGTAACCGAGTCCACACAAAAAAAGTGTTGTCAGCGTGACATAACACCTAGTACGGCGCTTTTGTGATTGGAAAAACATTTCTGCACCTCTACAAGAAACAAATCACAGCAACAAAGTTGCAACCATCTTGTGCGGGTTTTGATTTGGCTAATTCTGTGTCTTTTGGCTGGCTCTGTGGGGCAGCAGCAGCTTTTTTTGTATCAAATAATCCACCACCGCTTTTCCGAAGAAACGGAAACCAAGAAGTAGGAGGACATGTTACTCGCTCAATGATGGCCCGAAAATACTAGAGTTTTCTCATACCTAATGAAAAAAAAGGAAAGCAGGCACATATTAAGATTGATCTCTAACTTGACAGTGTTCTGGTGCAGATATTGACAGAGGTGTGATAAGTCAATTGCATGCAATACCTATGCAAGCCTTCCTGAGGTTTGAGCCACAGTGCAGGATATATTTTCAGCAGTTTTTTCATGGTTTCTCACGTTGATGTCTCTGTGTTGGGTTGACATTTACCACACATGAGAACTCTGCATGTTCGAATCTGAGAGCCAATTAAATCACTCTGCGTCAAGCTGACAAGCTCATGGATTATAATTGGCCTCTTGCAGTGCTTTGTTAAATGTCACTGCAGTGGAAAGCGGAAATGGTTTCACATTTTGTGAAAGGACATGCATCCTTCCTCAGACCTAATTATAATAATGAACATCTTTAACTGTAGAGCTGTTTCCGGTTAAATAAATCATCTCTTCAAGTTGACCTTTTGTTGCTCTTTAAATCCAAACACTTCCTTCCTCTTCCTCTTCTCTTCCTCAGCCGTTTTAGAGCCAGTGGAAGCACCAGAGAGACCTCCAAAACCCCTGCCCAGACGGATCAACTCGGAGCGCCGCCACAGCCCCATCCCACCTGTCCCTGCTCCACCCAGCAGCATTGCTGCAGGCGGGGAGGCCAACCCCTTGATCAGCAACGAGATTGAGCACCTCATGAGTCAGGGATACTCCTACCAGGACATCCAGAAAGCTCTGATGATTGCACAGAATAATATAGAAATGGCCAAGAACATCCTGCGTGAGTTCGTCTCTGTTCCCTCCACCGCGCACATTCTCACATAGCAGATCGTGGCGGCCCGGTTTTGCCGTTTGCTCTTTTTGCCCTAGCTTAGCCCAGCCTGGTTTGGTTCAGGTTGGCACAGAATCGACCTGTAAGGCCCACTGCCTCCAGGACAACTTAAAGTGCTGGCTGACACACTTTGCCGTCCACCACCCCAAAACCCTCCTGTGGTTTCTGACCTGGCTGTTACCCAGCAAGCTCACAGTATCTGCAGGAACCTGTGCCCCTGCACTCCATGCGCTTTCAAAAGTGTCCGGTCTTTTTTCGTTTTTGGTTTCAGGAGCATCTCCTCGGGGACCGCCTGAGCGCAGCGAGACTTTCATAGGAATCTGCCGAAGACAAACTCTCATCTTTCATGTTGAAGCCTCTGGCTGAAAATATAATCAACACCTCACAAGTAAAACTAAAAATGTATGTCTATATGAGAATTTAATATATAAGTATATATTAAATGTGTGTAATATATACAGTACGTGCATAAATAATATGTGAAAATGGTTCAGCTTGGAGGGTTGATGTTGGTACCACTGTAGGGGGAGACAGGATTCAGACTACGCGGAGCGAGGAAGGAAGAGGAAGGACGAATCGGCCGTCTTCCCTCACCAGGATCTGTTAGTCAGCAGCACCTTGGAAAATGTGCAGCAGAGATTTTCATCTTGACTTAAGTCTGATACGGCCTTTAACTAACGTTGCTTTGGTACTTTTTTCTTTTTTTTTTTTAAACCAACAAAAAGCGTGTTTAGTTGTTTTGTTTGTAGCATGATGATGGTTTCCGGTCTGGACAAGCTGGCTGCTTGTATGTTTTGTGTACGTGAGCATGGTTGCAGGGCTGATAGCACTCCGGCGCCGTCCCGCATCTCCGGCGTACCTGTGGGGAAAAAAATTAGTCTTTGCTCAGAGATTAAACAGACATTCGTCTGGATCTAACATGGCGTTATTCCATAGCTTGGTAGCAAGACAGCGGAGCTTGCTGAGCTGCACGCAATGTTTCTCCTTTTAATGCAAAAAGAGAGGATCCATAAACTACAGTTAATACGACTCCATGCAAGAACAATGGTTCGTTTTAATTTGCTCAGCATCCGCGAGTGTAACAGGAATTAGTAGTTATATGTTTTTGCAAACATGATAACTAATGTTAATACGGTATATTCTTCGCCTTTGCTGCCGTACTTGTTGCTTCTTTTGTCTGCGGCTTCGACCCGCCCACGGCTGGCTCAGAAGAACCAAAAACTGCGGTGCCTGAGTTGAACCAGAGTTTGCGCTTTGGAGCCTCTTTTCGTTGGTGGAAACACACGTCACTGGTTCGGAAACCGGAACGGCCTCCAAACCGAGTTGATGGGAAAGGGGTAACAGAGTTTAATAGAGTCTTAAAGAACTCTATCTGAACGACTAAAGAGTGGAATGTTTCCACTCATTGATGAATGAATGGTGTGGATAGAACTTTAACTGTACCGGTCCCATTTTATGACGAGGATGCAGAAACAAATGTAAAAGCTGGCATTGTTTGGGATACAAAAACTAAATGACGCTTCAGGACAACAGTCATGACCATTAAATGTGTTATTAATGTTCATGATACATATTCATGATTCATGTCATGTCATCCCTTTCAAATAAAGCGTTACCGTCAGTTTAGTCATTTCTGCCAATAGAAAGTGAATTACTTCTGGTGATTTTACAGCTTTACTAGCTGTTGTTGTGAAAGCACATTAAGAGCAATAGGCAGGCAGTGAAGTGACTAGTTTAAAGCAGGGATGAACTTGTCTACCAGGCCCACGGGCCTAAGAGTTCAGAGGGCGCTGAAGCCTGGGGCTCTGCCCAAAAAATATTCTGTATAGGCTCACATTTGGTTTGTCCATCTCCTGTCTGAACGTTGTCCCTTTACATCCTCAAAATCCATCATAATTTATCATTTAAGGGGCTGTTTTTCAACATTTTCTCCTGGGGAATCATATTCTCAGACCCTTCCTTGATGTAAATGTTCTTATACATCTGGGCCCAGGAGCCCACAAGACCAAAAACCACCCAAGGTTTAAATGTTAAAAGGGTTATTTTCATATATTATATGTTAAAAGCGTTGCATACATTGCCACTGCCAATCTCCCCACCTCATCTACCTTCCTGTCATGAAAAAAAATCAGGTTCAGGATTTTTTCCCACTATCAGCCCTGTGGTTGCCTTTCTGGGTGTGTGTGTGTGTGTTTGCCAGACGTTTTACTCCACTCATCCGGCTCTTAGGTGAAGCCCCACCCCTCCCTCTGCTGTCCGTCTCAACATGAATGTGTACTCCAGTCCACATACTTGCACCCGCGCTCTATAAATGTACTACTGCTCCATGTTCTAAGGCAGGGCCTGGTGTAGCTGTAGAGCTTCTCAGAGGACGCGTCCTGCAGCTACCAGACAGGCGAGTTGTTGTGTGATCTGCGGTGGCTCACATGTTTTCTTTCTGTTGTCTGAACTCACTGGCTGGTCCGGGATTTCTGTCTCCAGCTGAGTCCAGTGTTACAAAAACAAACAAACAAAAAAAAAACTTTTACTTTGGTAATATATTATTGTTAAATGATCATAAATATTGTTGTTTATAATTAATTCAGAAGTGTTTCACTGCTGCTATTATTGTTAGTGCTAAACAATTAAAGCCTTAAATGTACATTTGTGAATACTGTGTTTTAACCGTCATCCTGTTTCTTTAAAGTGACAGTATCATTTGCTTTTCCAGTTCATAATGTAGCATACTTGAAAAGTACAAGCAGCTTGTGAGCCCGCAGCCCTCTCAAGCTGTCGACCTGTTAGTGTTTTTAACTTTCAGTTTTATTCTGTTCTTTTTAGACTATATACAGGGTTTCTTTGCAGTCTGGAAACGCTGGAAATTTGATTTTTACATTTTAGGATCTGGATATGTACTGAAAGCTGTTTCCAGACTTTTGTAATTCTATTATCTTAAAGATAAACACCTGAATATCAGGGGAAAATTGGCTTTTATTACATTCATTTTTAGTATATCGAGAAAATAACCTCATAAATAAATAAAATCCGGGCCATTTCAGAGCTTTTTTGGCAAGTAGGACTTCATGGTATTAGGAATTCATAAAATTGCAATACCTACTGTTCAATGTTGGCACCTACCTAACATTAAATCCAAGCAGTGCTTTGCAGTTGCGATATTGCATGTGTTAAAAATGCAATGATGGCGCGGCGCTGATGGTGTGGGGGTTAAGCGCGCGACCATATGCAGAGGCTACGGTCCTCGAAGCGGCTGTCCCGGGTTCGAGTCCCGGACCCGGCGACATTTGCCAAATGTCTCCCCCTCTCTCTACCCCTCTTTCCTGTGTGCCTACTGTCAGAAAATAAATTAAAAAAAGGCCACTAGTGCCGAAAAAATATCTTTAAAAAAATGCAATGATGATTTCTACAACCAAAAGACATGACATCACATGTAGGATGATACAATTCACAATTGACCAGTCTAGGTTTTCAGATTTTAAGAGAGACCTGAATAAAGTTGGTCCAGAAGCCAAAAAAACTGTGAATCTAACAGTCCTAAGTAGCTCGGCCAGCAGTGGGCTGCATGTTGACTGTGTTTAGCTTTTTGTCTTTCTTAAAAGAGAAAAAAGTGAAGTAGCCAGCTGACCGCCAGTGCATAGCAACAGGTGGAGGAGGGGCAACATTGTATTACTCACTCAAAGTAGTAACAGGGTCTTTTCACGGCTACTTTGCTTTCCATACCCTCTAAAAACCATGGTTCTGTGGTTCCTGACCCAAGTAGAAAAATCTCATCGATCACAAAACGCGGGTCATGTGTGAGGTCTTGAGATCCTCCTCAGAAATTAAAGTAACAAAATTCCTATTTTTAAAATGCATTCATGCTAAAATAAGAGAAAATGTACACAAATAGATAAATCTGTGTATATTTAGTTGATGCCGTTTGCGTTGCCATTATACCCTTTGTAATTGATTTGCCAAAAATGATTGTATACCCGACCGATAGGTGTGGGTAACAAGTATCTACCACCGTTAAATGTATTTACTGTAGGATTTAGTCTTGGTGTTATAAATTGATATACAGCTTCTCAAAAAGCAGTGAACAAGTCCTTTACCAAACTGTAAAATCTTACAGCCATGAATGTCTGTACTTTGCAGCGGGAATATTTTCTGAACAACCAAATTAGTCTTTCAATGAAAAAAAGAAGTAACCGCCTTTTAGCCAGCTTTCAGTGTATTAATCTGGTCCTGTGGTTCTCGGACTTGGTCTGGGTCTAGATGCTAAACAAAGCATTAACACTCCTATTTTTTATATCTACAAACAAGAAAACAGTATCAAAATTTACAAAGTAGATTTAAAGGTGTTTTTCCAAATTCACCAGGTCTTGATGTTACAGAACTGTAAGCCAACTTCAGCATTATTTCAAAAACCAAATTAATTAAATGGTTTTTATTCTTCTATTTAAAAAAAATGCAGCAAAAAAGTACAACTTTGACTGTGTAAAAGTAGGAACCCTGTATATATCCACAACAAAAAAGAAACCAAAATGCTTTAGTTAAGTTTTTAAGGATAAGTGCTTTCTGTTCTCTTCAGCTTTGCTTTCTCGCTGCTCTGAAAGGTATCGAGTGTCAAGGCTTTTCGTAGCGTAGACTCATGGGTACGCTGGCCCCGCCCTGCGGTCTACGGTAAAAATCAGTATTTGGGCCGACTGTAACAACTAACTCAGGAATAAATGCTGTCAAAAAGCAGAGGAGACTTAGAGGCACAAACAGCAGCTCACCTGTGTACAGCCAAAAGTAACTGCTTTTTAGTCACACTTGAACTTGCACATATTTGCTCTCGCTTCCAGGTACTCTGAATTTTAAGTATATATATTCACACAAGCAGCTTTTAGGTACATTAACTCAAGGCTCTCCCAGTATATGAAGAATGTTTTAGTGTTTGTTTTTTAATTTTCTGATTAGGAGGGTGCCAATCAGCCCCAGTTTATCTTCTCCTCTTCAGGCTGATGCTGTGTGTTGACTGGAAGCTCTCTCTCTGCGCTGTCTCTAGTCCTTTTTCATGTTTATTTCCTAGTTGCCTTGCGAAACTTCTTGAATGATGGGTGGTGACGGACTGGGGAAGTCCGCAATCCTCAATACTGTACCGATGTTTCAAGACGGCATCTCATTCTCATGTATTATTATTATTATAAACCTTTATTTTTGCACATCATACCGATTTGTGCTTTGATACTGTCACTCTAAAGGAAAGCAAATTGTATAAAGGAAAAAAAAAGAGAAAAGTAGTTTTGCATTTCTGTACATTTAATTTCATCCCAAAGCTTTTTGTTTTACTTGTTTTTCATGACTTGTGCCATATGTCTAGAGAAAGACATCATCACAGAGGTCCTTATTTCGTTTTTAAAAAAGCCTTGATATTCGAAGAGTGATTGTAGGCGTCGATCTGTACCTGTTGGTCTCTGAAGGCAACATGGTGCACTAATGCCTGCATTGGTTTGTTCTCTGCCTCTTCAGCCGCACCTCCTCTCATCCCTCAAAAGCTTTCAGTGTCCTTTTGCTCACCTTTTTCCAGATCAGCGCTCAGCCTCTGGATGCCCCCAGATGCGCTCATGACTGAGGAATTTAAATTTTCAGCCAGGAGAGGGGGCTGTGGTTCTACACTTTAATTTCCCCACATCAGTAACAGAAAGGCATTCATGTTTTTTTTATGATTTTTTTTTTTTAAAGCTCATATCAATTTGAAAGTATGCACATTGCTGTTTAATAAAAGATTAAGCAACTGCTTCATGTCTCTTCTTTACATGTAAAGATGAATCTTACGTGAGTAATTTGGTCTAAACAATGAAACTCACGGATTCACTAATATATTTCAGCAGTTTTTCTGTTTTAATGACGATGGCTTAAAGTAATTAAAACAGAAAAAATGTTTCTCAGAAGATTAGAATGTTTCATAGGACCAATAAAAAGTATTATGAACAGAGAAATCATGCAGTGTGGAAAAGTACCGAGTTTGATTTTATCTTTTCTTCACATCTGGATAAGTATGGAAAAAATGGAAGCAGAAGAATGTTTGACTTTCCAGGTTATTATATATTCTATTATAATCCAAAAATGTAACCCAGAATTTCTGAATGATAATGTGCTTTTGATTCCCTATTTTGCCAAAAGGATTGGTTCACTTGCCTGTTGAGACTCATGGCCTTTAATGACATCTTAAAGCTTTAATGTGCTGTTGGACTTCCCTTTGAAGCTACAACAGCTTCAAAGCTTCTGGGAAGGCTCTCTACAAGGTTCACAAGTGTGTTTATGGAATATTGGACCACTCATGCAGGAAAGCATTAATGAGGTCAGACCTTGATGTTGGATGAGAGGTAGTTGCCACTCAAATTTATCCCAAAGGTACAAAATCAGGTTAACGTTGGGGCTCTGTGCAGGCTCGTAAAGTTCCTCTTCATCACCAAACTTTAGTCCATCTCATGGTTTCATTTTTTGTTATCACTGACAGAACCCACAAATAAACATACATTTATTCAACCCTCTCCGGTTCAGATTTTAAACGTCACTTGTGGTTTTTAAACTGGGCCTGGCCTAAGTGCCAACTAAACAACGCAATGACACCAAGATCTGTTTTTTACAATCCAGATGGAGCTATGACAGGTGTAAAATTGTGCTTTAAAGATTATGCATTTAGTTTGGAAACGATTACAGTAAAGAGCTGACATCTTAAGTGTTGCAGATTTTGGGAAAGAGCCGATCTGAGTTTGTTCAGACCGTTATTTAGCAGTAAGTCGCTGACATTTCACACGTGGAGGGCAAGCGACAGAAGGTCATTCATCAGCTAAAGAAGCTTCCTATTTGTGGAGTGCTGTATTCAAGCATGTTAACGGAAGGTTTAGTAGAAGGAAAAAATATGGCAGAACCCTGACCCTTCAAGAGCAAACACACCCAGGACATGGGCTACAATTCATTATGTTAATTTGAGTGTGCAGATACCTGTCCCAGATTAGATGATGCCTGTGATACATCTTTTGCTCTCGCTAATTAGCCACATGCAGCACATGGGGTGCCTTGGAGTCATTTTCTAAGGAGTTTGTGTGGACTGACTTCTACTTTAACATTTGGTTTTGTCAGTTTGAAATGTTTTGTTTTTCATTATTCATGCTATTTCGAATATTTAAGTCTGGAAGTTGGCTTCATCTTCAAAAATAGAAATTTGTAAATATCTATCATTTTAAACTCTGTTCATGGCTGCTCAAGGTCTTCAGAGCATGGATTATCATCTGATATCTCAAGTTCAGGACTCTTGCTCTATGGTCAAAATCCCTTTTCCCAGAATGTACATTTTGTATTTAATTAGGAAATCCAGGTCCCAGAGTTTGGAGGGACAGAACCCAAGCTGATTGAAGTCCAGTGGGAACCTTTCAGAGCGATGGTTTAGGGAGCCTCGTTACCTGCTGGTGAGAGTCCACTGTGTTTTATCAAGGTCCAAGTCAGTGCGGCAATTTACCAGGAAATTTTACAAATCTTAACTCTTCTGCTCACAAGCTTTATGGAGATTCAGATTTCTTTTTCCAGCAGCATATGGTCTCTACCGGCCCAGTCAAAAGTACCAATACCTGCTTTGATGACAATGGGATCACTCTGCTTGACTGCGCAGCAATTGACTTAGGCAATTATGCTATGAGGCTAATGAAATCCAATTACATACAGACCAAATATGATGAAGAACTTGTCCTTTTTTCTGATCTGGGACCAAAAAGATTAGGAGTAACTCGAAGAGAATCCCACTGATGAATCCTAACATCCTGCAAAGTGTACTGAGAGGTGCAGTGAACTGCAGACAAAATATATTACTTGAGAGCTACTTTTGTTTCATATGATGCATTTAATGTTTAACCTTCTTGTTTTATAATGCATTTAGTTACTGCATTAAAAACCAAAATGTGATTTGACCGCCGCCAGGAGCAGATCGAATGACTGTCTTCTAAATCTACGCTGCTGACAAGATACCTCCAACAACCATTTGTTCATTCTTACTGCAGCAAGGCAATGAATGTCCTTAAATAAAATGTTAGTCTGGTATTTAAGAATTATATCCCTTTAAAAGAAGCTCTTCCCTTAAAATACATAATTTTGTGTGCCAGCCTGGGGACATTTGTTATGATCAGTTCACCTGCTGTTCGTCCATTAAGATCAAGGATAATTTTTAATTACACGCGTTACATTTTTTCTTCATGATGTAATTTTCTCCCGATTATAAACAGTATTTGTTTTAGGGTTGCAGAAAGATGATGTGGAATTAAG